TACAGGCCATTCAGTAGAGGCCTGCTACCATTGTATTTCATTCATTCCCAATCACTCTCATTCATCCAGGAACCAATTCACATGGGAGGGGTACATGAATCATACAGTTGCAACACAGGAGAGGCCCAGGCAGAGGACACAAGATGGAGGCTTGACATACAAAATGGAAACTTGATATGACTTACGCTAACTTACGTATATAGGCCTAAAACAGTAATCACACAATATAAAAATAGTACAAACATAATAATTATTGCTTATAAAACACTGGGTATTGATATCAAAATAGCAGTGAACTTATTTGCAAAGAGGGGAGAGAAAAAATAAAACTTACTACCTAAAATAAAATGTTAAAGCTTATCCTACATCTTAGCTTACTTATACTTATCTATAGGGAATAGAGAGGGAGAGAAAAAGTCAGAAATGGTTGGGGAAGGGCAGGGAATGCATTTTAAAATAAAAAAAGAAAAACTTGGGGTTTTGCTACAGGCTTGTGAATGCTACAATGCTGGGGCAAATGGAGTGTCCCACAGGAGTGCAGAGAGGGCCTCCACGTGCTCGGCAGCAAACCCAGAAGTGGACTGGAAGTACTTCTGGTCCACTTCTGGGCCTGCCAGGGTGTGCATGGGGATCCCCCCACACCTCCCCAACTCAGCAATCGCCCGCGGGGGGCCCTGGGTGCCCCCCCACCAAACCCAGGAGGCACCAGTCGCCGAGCCAGGAGGGCACAGGAGGGGCACACTCCCTGCCAGGCCCAGAAGTGGATCGGAAGTGCTTCTGGTCCACTTCTGGGTCTGCTGTTGAGCATGCTGGGGAGCCCCCATGCTTCTGTAAGACACTCCATGCGCCCCTGCATCACAGCACTCATGAGCCACCTGCTACCTAGAGGCATGTAGAAAAAACATTTAAAGCTGTGTCTATGTCAGAATCACTGAATCTTTCCGAATCTCTCCGAATTGATTCGGAGGGTTCCAATTCTATTTGGAGAAATTAAAGGGTCCTCTGATTCAATTCGGATTCGGAGATTTGGCCACCTAATTGGGCCGAATCTCCACCAAATCGAATCAGGGACTAAAGATTCACACAGCCCTATTGTTCAGGTACATTTTTAAATATAAAGGGCCAGGAAATTATTGTAAATGTTATAACTATTTTATAGGGATGTTAAGATATGGTTAATATAGCTACTAAAGCCTATGTGCTGTGTTTGATTTATGTGTAAAACTTTTATTGACCTCAGTAAAATAGGAGGTAGCATATTACCCTATTGGCTCAGTGTTTCAATAAGATTATATGTTTTGGTCTTCTTGCAGGTGATTTGTGTGGGTCAGATTGTCTGTGCTGTGGTTGCAGATTCAGAGGTTCATGCTAAACAAGCAGCTGCAAAAGTGAATATTGAATATGAAGCTCTGGAACCAGTGATCCTGACAATTGAGGTAATAAAGCTTGTAAACTTTGTGTCATTTGGCTTTAATGTCCTCTTGAGGATTCTTTTCCAACATTCATTATTCAGGCATTTTTAGCTTTTTACCTTGGGTTGTATTCTTGGCTTATTAGGTGTTTTCTTATAAATCTATTTTAAAATTTCCCTTTTAATATGCAGTTTTAAAGGAAGGACAGTGCTTTTACCTGCATTGAAGACTGGGATCTTTTTTCTATTGTCTTATAAAACAATCTACTACTTTCTACACATTAGGAACTAAATCATATTCTGCTGTGAGAGAACGTGGAAGAAGCCTTTTCCATATTTCTGCAGGTCTTTTGTAAAAACCTGTTGCATTACGTATAGTTAGTGGCTACTCCCTTTGCATGCCTTTGGAGGCATAGAAGTCCTCAAATAAGAGTGGATAGGGGGAGGGGGTATGGCTCTTCCCCAGTTCACATCAGCTTAACAACATGACTTCACCCTTATACCTGGGTCAAAATATTACATGAAAGCACCAGAGCTAAAACAGAGAGCTCTGGGACTAAGTACTGACTAGAAAACAGAGTTAGAGCTGTGAGCAAAATGCTCTCCCTTCTACAGAATTTTGCAATGTTTTTTGTAAATAAACAGGACTGGGTTGAAAACACAACAGATTCCATTATGTTTTTCTACTTTTCTCTGGAATATGTGGTAAGATCCTGAATTTTTGCCTAACTGTTTAAAGACTAAAAGGACTATGATTTTCCCTAGCCTATGCCTGGGCCTCTAAGGTGGTGAGTGCCTTCAAATCCTACTCTTGTGTCACTGGCTGCATTACTAATGCACAGTAATTTTTGTACCTATAATATAAAATACCAAATTAATGCGCATTGGGCTGTGCTAATGCGCAGTAGCACACGCATGCTTTTTTAGTGACTCAATGTACAGTAGCCTATTCTACTGTGCATTAGTGTATTAGCACCGTTTTGTATGTGTCACTTTAATGTGCAGTAGAAGAGGCTACTGTTCATTAAAGAACATGGGTAGATGTGCCGACTAAAATCAAACATCTTGATATAGATTTTCAGGTTCAATCTGGTTCCATTGCACCATTCAGGAGGAAGCACAAAAGGAGCTGAAATCATATGCCCAGGAACTGGAAATAATTCTACCATGCAGGAATCTATCACAGATATAGAGTCAGAAGGCATAGCTCTTATATCTCTTTTCTTACAGTCCCTAATAATAGGAGTATGCCAGGAAAGGTGAGCAGGAGGAATGATTGATAACATTGTGTTCTAAGCCATTCCCAGCTGGCTGGGTCCCATTAGGAATAAAAACAGCAAAAACAGTTATGGGCAGACCCTGGGCTGCTTTAAACTCTTATGTCTCTGTCTGACTGCTCCCCTCCCA